TCATGTTTAAGAAGTAGAATTATGGTAGGATTTCAAGCAACAGCAAGCAGGACTAGGGGGATATTTAGGGTGTAAGACCCTTTCTCATTGAGTGTGAAACCATCTTTTAAAAGTTCCTAGAGTCTATGCTTTGTGCCAGCACAAAATTTAGCTCCAACAAGCAGGGAACCTTCCTGAGCTCTTTCTCTCTCTCACTTAACATTAAATGTAATTTTAAGTTTGCTGACATAAAAGCATGGACATGAATGTATTTGGTCTTTGGAATAAAACTTTGTAAATATATTGCCTATGAATATGGTTTTCCAAACTATCTACAAACAGCTTGACATTTTCACACATTTGTTCAAGAGTACAAGAAGTTAATCTAACTGATCCCTACCTAAATCACTTCCCAACTCCCTCCAGGACTAACTGGAGCTACCTTTTTCTTCCCAAAGGTTCTTTGATGTTAATATATTTCCCTGCACCATACATGGTATGGTATCCTGAAAAGAACAGTGAGGTAGGTGTTGGGAGACCTGGTTCTAGCCCTCATTATCCACTCACGGGCTACTACACGAAGCCATTGCTTAACAACTTGGTGTGCTAATTTCTCCATCTGTTAAATGAGGATAATAAGTTAATAATAACAAGTACATGATATCAGCTCTACACAATGGTAACTCAACATTCATAGATAACACTGCCTTGAAATGCTCTCAAATTATCTCATATACATAGATTTTCTCCTTTCTAGCCAGACAGTAAGTCCTGAGAGAAGCATTGTATAATATCGCTTTGTACGCTTCCAGTGTTCAGTCCTTTGGGACAAATATACATACCATGATTGTTTGAAAACAGTTTATCAAAAGTTGTTGAACCCCTTTACCACCAAGTAAAATGCATGAACTTCATAAACATACACTGCATGACAGGTGTTCCTCACTCACATTGACACCCTTTTAGAGTTCTGGTTAAGGAGAGTTGTATTGCTTATCTGAGTTCCTTGAGGGCACAGGTCATATCTCATTAACCTTTGTATTCCGCATTTACCTTAGCCATGCAAGCACACAGAAGGAGCCCAGCAATGTCTGCAAATAATTAATAAATGTATGAAGTGAACTTTACTTAAATACTTCCTAATACTTCCTCCATTCAGTCATCCAGAAACCTAAAAACCCAATCTTTGTTTGATTTTGGTTAAGTTGGTTTTTAATTTTGCAGAATCATCTAAGCATTTTATGAGTACACCTCCCTAGTAAGTCACATGATTTTTCTCTCCTCTTTCCTTTGTAAGCACAAGCAGTTCTTATTCAAAGATCATTAAAAGGATTAGGCTGCAGGAGTGAGAGTGGTAAGGACCGGAACAGCTATTGGTCTGAAAGAAAGGAAAATGGTACTAATTGTTCAGATACAACATCATTCTGCACATTAAACATAAATACGGCGGCTGAATAAAGAGCTTCTATAGAGAGCTCTAGGCTCTGGCAGGAACACTGGGCTGCACCAGTAAAAGGCCTCCTGCTAGGGCCGCAGTGGAAAATGTGACCTCAGAGAGGAATTCAGAACGGAAAAGGCTCAGAACAAGATGACACACCATGAAGTTTTGGTTAAGTCATTTGGTTCCAGGCATATAAAAGTTTTCAGTTAAAAAATAATGCAGACTACATGAACTTTGTCAGAGATGGCTATTCTCAGTAGAGCTTAGAATTCCAAAGTGCCTCTGCCTTCGTGTTCTTCACAAGAGATCAAAACCATTTAGGAACACATTCATCTAGAGAGGCCCGGAGGCCTGGGAAGCAAAATAGGTTAGTCGGGACTCCTGAGACCTAGATCATCCATTGTTCCACTGAGTCCTTCCGACGCAGAGGGGAAACTGACTAAGGACTCCAAAAAGCAAAGGCAAAGACAGCACTAGAGAGAAGTCAGCGATGTCCTTCCCCCCTTCCTGCTCCCACCCAGAGAGGGCTCCTGTTATGGGAAAAGTCTGTGTTTATGACGGCAGCAATCTATGTCTTTCACCACCGGTATGTAGCCAGTTCAGTGTTTCAGAGCTGGGGATTCTTGCTATGGAATAGGATCCTGAAGTTTAGTAAGTTAGGCTTTTGCAAGAAAAAAAATGGAATACATCATTTCATATGGTTATGAACAAAACCACAGTCTAGAAAAAACACCCATCCCACCGACCCTTGCCCCAAACAAGCTTTTATTTTTAAATATAGATCTATATTTTGAGCAAAGCATGAATCAAGCCACATATTTAATGTCAGTAAAGTATAATTTTAGAGGCATGCCAGAAAGGAGAAGGAGGGGATGTTAGCACATAAAACTTATTTATATTTTTATTTATGCCTATTTCCCACAGATTGAAAATAAATTTTCAAGAGCACTTCTCAAGCTAACCAACCTACTCCTTGAGTCTGAAAATTTGGTGCTTATTTAGCACTGCCCTCTGGTGTCCAAATGGATCACTTTAGTTTGCCTTGAGGCAAAGAGTAAAAGCTACTGTGCAATTAAACAAGTCTACAATCTACATTCATTCATTCACTAAATATTTATTGAGAGTCTAGTGTGTGTGAATTTGTGGAAGGTGGTGGGATACACAGATGTAAAAAAAGACTTGGTTCCTTGCTGTGTTCTTAAGCAGCCCATAGTCTAACAAGAGACAAAATTAACTGCAATTCCAGTTACTTGATCATACAAGAGAAATCACTTTACCTATTATTGAGACAGTCACAGCTGGGTTGCCTCCCTTTCCAAACTGTTCTGGACCATTATTCATATTAACAGGTATCGGGCTGGCTTTGGGCCGAATAGCTTTGGTGAAGTACACAAGGAACATTCTGAAACAGAGGAGATACCCCAGGACATACAATGAGATTGAGGCCTAATTTTAAGGATTTCTGTGGGAACGCTCTTTTTGAGTCAACTCCAGAAGATACTTCTGGTCTTGTAGTTACCTAGGGGCTCACTGGTCACCAGATCAGACATACAAATCTAATGTTCATTAAGTCTTAAATTTCTTTCTGAAAATGCAGACTGTTTTTCTCGCACTGTGATGAAAAGCTTCAAAAGGAATCAAATGGCAGAGACCCCAAGAATTGATCATAAATTGTTTTAGGATCCTTAGGTCTGCAAAGTGCCAACCAGAGTCACAGAAACACACATTGTTCTGAATGGGTACATCTTCAGACCTTCTGAGAAAGCAGAGGGAGTCCAAAGGAATTGCCAAGATGTTCCAACAAGAATAAAAGTGAAATTCAAATATCAGCAAAGGAAAGGAGTCAAAAACTACTGCAGACCAAGAATGATGCTTTACACCATTTTATAATGTTCTTACTTTTTGCCATTTTTCCATTCTTGGTTCCTGTTGTTTTCTAGAGTAGTTAGCCTTGACTTGCTTCTAACCAATAGAACATGGCAAAAGTGACAGGATGTACCTGACTACATTGCTTAAGATTATGAGATCCATCTTGCTGAAACTGTCTCCCTTGCTAGCTTTGAGGAAGCAACCAGTTGTGCTGGCAAGGCCCGTGTGGCAAAGAGTGGAGGGTGGCCTCTTGCCAACAGCCCCCTAGAAACTGAGACCATCAGTCCAACAGCCCACAGGGCATTGAAATCTTCGAACAACCACATGAGGGAGAAGGTGACTCTTGCCCAGACAAGTCTCAGTGGAGACTGGCTTGACTGAAGCCAACTTTGAGATATTAAATGTGTGTTGTTATAGTTGCTAAGTTTGTGGTAATATTATGCAATGACAGAAACTAATATAGATCTCAAGATATTTTTTTAATTTTAAAACATTATAAAAGTAATACAAATAAAGAAAAAATATACTAAATACTAAAGAAAGACAAAGTCATCCATTTATTGCTCTGCCACCCTATTATAAGAACAGTTAGTAATTTATTTTGTCACCCTTTTATTATATACTTGGTGTGTTATTTATAGCCATGAACTTACCCATTCACACACTTTCATATCTTGTTTTTTTAATTAAATATTTTCTCATGTTTTTCATTTATTCATTACTAAATTTTAATGAGTACATAATGTACCACTCATTGGCTATCTATATCTGTTTATTAACTATTTCCTTATACCAGGGATTGGCAAACTGTGGCCCTGCATTTGTAAATAAAGTTTTATTAGAACACAGCCATGCCCATTTATTTACATATTGTCCATGGTTATTTTTGTACTACAAACGGCACATTTGAGAAGTTTTAAGAGAGACTGTATGGTTTGCGAAGCCTAAAATATTTCTTTTCTGCCCTTTATAGAAAAAGTTTCGTGACCCCTTCCTAAAACTTTTAAGTGATTATTTTGGCTATTACAATTAATGTCACTTGGAATCTTTGTGCATATAATTTTTTATATTTTAGGCAACATAACTGGGAGGTATTAACAAAAGTGGAATAACTGGGTCTACTTAATAAAGATGTCTTTAAAGCTGACACCGTTTCTCACCATCTCACATAATATTCTAACTATGATATAATAAGGGTGGTGGTAATAAGAATGGAAAGGAAGGCCCAGTACTTCCTTTACTTAGGTAGGAAGTAACCCATTGGTAGCACTCTTCTGGTCCCTATTAGTCTGACAGGGATGTAATTTTATACTCTGGATGAGCATATTTTTACTTTTGACTTAAAGTCAACAGTAAATGCCACATAAAAACCAATAGAAAGAAAACTGTTACTTTCTATTGGGGATTTAAAAGGAGACTGAGCAAACTCTCCAAGGGTCCAGGTATCCATGAAACACCACCACAGGCTAGCTGTAGTGGCCAAAAGGCACTGAGAGGGTTGAATTAGAGAAAGGTAAGTCTCAACAATGTGTTAGCAGTGGCAGCAATGAACAATGAGGCAGCTATGAGTGGCGGATGACAGAAGAAACACACGTGTTCCACCCCTCTGAACACATCCTAAGCATCAACTTGTATTTAACTGTAATTAAACTGTCTCCAGGTAAGAAAGTTCTAGAGCAACTACCCTATATTTATCAACAAAAAAATTCTTCTATCTGGGAAAGTTTTATTCTTCAAAAAGAAAAACTTATGGAATAGGACCAGCTAAGTCAACCCTAACTATCTCTGAGATAAAAGATGAACCAGGCTGACGGATCTCAAATCCACTCTCACAGTAAGCTTCAGGAAGTATAGGTGTCATCTTCTAAGGGAAATATTCTGCAACATAAAAAAAAAAAAAAAGATCAGGATGGACTTTTCCCCCAATATTAAATAAGGTAATTTAAAAGCAAAATCAGAAAGATATTTAATGTAATTATCCCAAATACACCAACAAAGTATATAAGGAAATCATACATAACACATTTATTTTATTAAAAGGTTCCTGTCAAACTGTCAACCAATTTAACATTTTCTGAAGAAGTGTTCTTTTGGCTAAAGCTATTAGAAGCCTTCACATTCCACCTCAGTTAATTCTCAAATAATATCATGAATTTATGAAGTACTCCGGGAGACTATGAAATTCTCCAAAGAGTAAAAAAAAAAGTCTAATTATTTTTGTAGAAACTAGGAACATATTACTTTAAACAAAACAGCCAAGTTTCTGAGGTGTGAAAATCAGGTCATAATTTTCTTGAATTTTCATATTGCAAAGGAAGGTAAATGGCTTGATTTGCACTTAAAATGTTATCATTTTCCTCTTTAACTGTTTACTGACAGTTGCCTCAAAACTGACCTGAGGGTCTGGCAGCATAAATCCATCAGTAAGTTTATAATAGACTATTGTGGAATCGGACTCCACTATGGCCAAAGTAAAAGACATTGGCAAATCTGGATCACCTTGCAATTTTCGAGATGCCTTCAAGATCTCCCTTATCCTGAAAATAAAGCCACAGTACATTTAGGATTCACAGTCACTCAATTAATAATAAGATCAAACACTGTAAAATCTTGGGGGAAGAGGTAGGTAATAACATTATATCCATAATACTGACTAAGGAAATGTCTGAAGGCTCAAATATAAACATCTAAAGTTGTCTCATATAGAAAATCCTGCAAATAAGAGCCATCTACTGACTTTCAGTCTTTTGGATTTACCCATCTCTCCTGATATCACACATGACAGAATCAGACTGTATTCAGGAACCTACAGAATGGTGTACTAACAGTGTTCAGTGCACCTATGGTCTATGGATCCTGGGCATTCATTTTCCAACTTGGTATCATAGAGTGGAACAATGTGGTATTCAGATTTGCTTCAAAAAAAAATAGATAATAAACATTTCCATGTTTCTACATGGTGTTTGTCATTACTATCTTTAAATGGCTATATATTATCTATTGACTCAAAATTTACCCAATCATTCCCCTATTCCTATAGAGTTCTCTCAGGCCTTTCGTGGGGAGAAGGGCACTAATAAAGATGTGATGATGATTCTTCTGTAGGTAATTGTTTCTGTTCGGTCTTTCCAAGGTTGGAATTATTAGATATGAGTATAGATATTTTTATGGTTTTCAATATGTATTCTGATACTTAGTAGAAGCTAAGAGAAAAATGTAGAGAGAAAACTTTTTCTTGTAAAGTTATATATCAAGCATCAATGTTATAAAGGGTTTCAGTTTGCTTGTTATGGAAAATAATCTACCAAATCTAGTATCTCCTAGCTACTTCAAAGTGCTATTAGCTTTTGTTTACCAGAAACTAAAAATCCTTATTACCTACGCAATAAAGCTCGTGTTCAATAATTCGGTAAAATGTAACCTCCAGAGGAGCATTCTTAAAAAGGCAAATAAAAAATGATGGATAGAGCTAGAGCATATAATGCTAAGTGAAATAAGTCAGAGAAGGGTGCCTGGGTGGCTCAGAGGGTTGTGTCTGCCTTCGGCTCAGGTCATGATCTCCAGGTCCTGGGACTGAGCCCCAAGTTGGGCTCCCAGCTCAGCAGGGAGTCTGCTTCGCCCTCTGCCTCTCCTCCTGCTTGTGCTCTGTTTCTCTCTCTTTCTCAAATGAATAAGTAAAATCTTTATTAAAAAAATAAGTCAGAGAAAGACAAATACCACATGATTTCACTCATATGTGGAATTTAAGAAACAAAACAAACAAGCAAAGGAAAAAATAGAGAGACAGAGAGACAAACCAAGAAACAGACTTTTAATTATAGAGAACTATGGTTACCAGAGGGGAGGGGTTGGGGGTGGGTTACATAGGTGATGGATTAAGGCACGTACTTGCTGTGGTGAGCACTGGGTGTTGTATGGAAGTGTTGAATCACTATATTATACACCTGAAACTAATATAACACTGTATGTTAACTAACTGAAATTAAAATAAAACACTTAAAAAAAATAATTTTCTTTAAATATCCCTAGCTGGCAGAGTATGACAAGGATGGGACACAGATGGAAGGAAAAAAACCTATTAAGGCAACTTTTACACAGTTCCCATTTCTTAAGATATGATATTGTTTAAATCAGAAACATACATGTGTAGTTTTTTCTAAGGTAAACTGGGAATTCTAGCCCATATACTCAACTTTAGGATAGAAATTTCCATCTCATTCATATTTGTTTCCAGAGTTCTTTAATATAAACAGCAAAACACTCTCAAATTTACTTAAAACACCCATGTGGGAAACTAATATTTGAAAATTAGCTCAGAGTTGTAAAAGGGGTTTTGTCTTCAGAGTTGAGGGAAATCACTGTCAAAAATGAAATGGAACTTCCCATCTCAGAGCCCCTATTTGGTTGTGTGTGGGGGAAAACTACCAGTGAATTTTCTCAGTAATTACATAATAAAATAGTTTATCTGCTTCTGCTACTGAAAGCATACTAAGGAAAGCTTACAAAGATTCTTGTTCAGGATCGCTTCTGGTCTATTTTTAACATATGTTTAAAGTAATGCCATCAAGACCTCTTGCTTGTTTCCTTTATGGGACACTGATAAACTCCTAAAAATGTTTACTTTGCCTTTAAGTCAACAGATTGCACTTTCTCAATCTAACAGCAAGAACACAACAAAAGGTTCCAAAGCTCTACTTTAAAAATCACACACAATTGTAAAGATGCTGAGAACAATGAGGTACCACTAAAATACTATAATCTCACTTAACTTCTAACAAGCTTACAGCTTGAAGTTTTAATTCAGAAACCTCATGTAAAATTTTTTAAAGCTCAGTTCTTTGGAAATATTTTGTAGAGATGCTTCATCACATAAATCTAAAATAACTTAGATAATAAAATTATTTATAGTTCATATTTGATAGAAATCCATATATGAAAAACATAACCTATGTATTCATAAGAAGAAGTTCAGGTTCTCAAGTTTATTACATTTCAAAGGAAAAACCTAAAGAAAGAAATCAGTAATAATCATAATTGCTCATCAGCAGTAAGGAAGTTAATGTTTATAACAGGTTTTCCTTCTCATAACTGTTCAAAGAGGACCTCAACATACCGAACACAGAGTAATTCCGAAGTTTAATAAAGCTCACTTGAAAAAGCCTGCGGCAAACACATAGGTAACATTATCTGGCTACTACCCTCCCTCCAAGCTATATAATGCCTTCCATAAATCTTAGCATTCATTTTTTTGTGATGATCCTGTAACAGAGACTAAGTAATCTCTGAAGATTGGTACAGAGGACAAGCAAGTTGAAAACACTATTTTTAATTTAAATGTTGTTAAAATAAAATGCATCATGGGTTAAAATTCAACCCACAGAAAGCAGTATCTCCTGTCCTCTTCCATGTGGCCAAACTGGTACATACTGTAGACTTAGCAATGAATGAAACACTTCTTGATCTGCCTCATTATGATATACTGGAACAGCACATCATAATGTAACTCTGAACACAATGCAAAGTGAAATTGGTGCCCAAGGTACCAAAGAAGCCTTACTCATCCACAGGCTCAATCCTAAAGAAGAGTTTCAAGGACAATAGACCACTTCCTTGGGAATCATGCCAACGCCTCCCTAGTTTTAAAAAAAAAAAAAAATCAAGGCAGCTAAAGTTCCAGGGCTGGATTAGTGAATAATTAAGTGCCTGTGTGGCCATTCACCCCAGTGGGAAGCCATTCTGCCAAAATAAACTGCAAACTTTTTTTTTTTTTTTTTTTTTTGAGGCTGTGTCAGTTGCAAGACACTGCTGGAATTGGCGGTTTCACCAGCCTCAGATTTCCAACGGAGGTAGTATGAGGACACACATTTTGATATGCAGGGAGACCAAATGACAGAAATTATTTTACCAGTTATTAGACTTCAGGCCTCAAATAAAATAATGGTCACTAAATGCATTTGTAATAAAGAATATACCTTTGGAGAAAAGAAATATTTTTTGATTACAGGAAAATAATGGAGTATCTTTCAAAAAAAATATGTAGCACTTCAGGATCAAATCTTATAACTAAGAACATCTTTTAAAATGTCCTAAAAAGGAAATTCAATTAGTTCTGGTAATCCTTTACTCCACCATTAATGTAAGTCCTTTCCCCAAGACACTAAGGAAAAAGAAGGGTTGAAAGGTGGCTGGAGGGAGAGGTGGGGAGGATATACACGAAAAAGAATTTAACTAAAAGGTAAGGAGGCTATTCATAGCCTTGGCGGAGTGCCTCTTCAGACCTGTGAGTGTTCTCTATCTGCAGATGCATATATAGTTACAGTGTAAAGAGTGGGAAATAGTGATAAATCTTGCAAGTGGATAGATTCTGCAGACATCCTAATTTTCTTTTGGAAACTCTTGGAAGGTTGCTCGTAGCATATCCTTATGTTCTTTAAATGTTATTTAGCAAGTTTCTGCTGTAAGAACTGAGCAGTCTAAGAGAGTTCATTCATTCATTCATTCATTCATTCATTCAACAAATACTTATTTAAGACCAAGTACTAGGTACCGAGCTAGACACTGGGACAATAGCAATAAAAAGAGCAAAGTTCCTGCTTTCATGGAGGTTATTTTCTAGTGGAGGAAGGAAGATAGGAAACAATCAAAGACAACCAAATATATAATATATTGAGTAGCAATAAATGTGGTAAGTGTTATAAAGGAGGACTACTTCATAGGCTGTGATTGTACAGGGAGTGAGATGATAGTAGCTTACACCAGAGTAATGACAGTATAGCAGAAGTGGTGAGAAATGGTAGATTTTGGATATATTTTTAAGAAAGAACTGCCAGAATTTGTTGATGTATTAATTTGGGGTATGAGAACTGGATGGACTAAAATTAATAAGAGATTATATACCAAGGTTACAGGATACAAACTTAATATACAAAAGTCAAGTGCTTTCTTATATACCAGCAATGAACAACTGTACTTTGAAATAAAAAGGACAACACCATTTACATTTGCATAAAAAATGATATACTTAGGCATAAATCTAGCAAAAATATGTACAGGATCTGTATAAGGAAAACTAAAAAACTCTGATGAAAAAAAATCAAAGGAGATCTCAATAAATAGAGAGATAGTCCATGATCCCGGATAGGAAGGCTCACTATTGTTACGATGCCAATTCTTCCCAATGAGATCTACAGATTAAGCACAATCCCAAACAAAGCTCTAACAAGTTATTTTGTGGATAGGGACAAACTGATTCTAAAGTTTTTTATATGGAAAGGCAAAAGACCCAGAATAACACAATAGGGGAGAAGAACAAAGTGAGAGGACTGACATTACCTGACTTCAGACTTACAAAGCTAAAGTATTAAGACCATGTGGTACTGGTGAAGGAAAAGACAAACAGGTTAATGGACTAGAATAGAGAGCCCAGAACTGACCCACACAAAAACAGTCAACTGATCTTTGACAAAGGAGCAAAAGCCGGTCAATAGAGAAAGAATAGTCTTTTCAACAAATGGTGATGGAACAACCAAATTATCAA